AACGAGATGGTCTCCAAGGCCTCTGGCAACTCCGGGGTTTTGTGGTTGTAAATTTCCTAAAGCTGCTGTCTGTGTGTGGAATGAGCCATAACTTCTGAACGCTCCACCTGGAATCCACAATGCTCCAAGTTCTCTGCCCAGTGGGAGGCGACCTCTCTAGATCCACTCCCTCAGGTCAGGAGTTATAAGGAGTCTGGGGGTGCTTTCCTTTGGCCTGATCTGAGGTGTGGGGTCCTTGGCTGCTTTCTAGACCCTCTGTGTCTGCTGCAGGTAAATAATATATGTGATTTAATGCTGAGAACTGGGGTCAAGACTTTTAAAACCCCTGAAATACCCCCAAATTCCACACATGTTAACATGCCAGTCATATAGGAGGTGCTCGGAAAATGTTGAAGAAATCAACACTCAAGCTCAGACAACTTGACAACCTGGCAAGCACTAGCCACAGCATTCCCATTTGTGTTCAAAATCAAGGACAACAGGTTGGGAAAAGATTGAAAAAACTATGTGAGATCCAAGGGCAAGGGCAGCTTAGAAGCAGTTTGTGCAGGGTTGTCACTACTCAGCCACTTGCAGGTGGAGAGCTGGGGACCCCATGTTCTAAACTGAAGAAACACACCAGATTCCAGGGTAGGAGATGTTGGCAGGGCTACCTGTTGAGCAAAGGCAACACTCACACACGCCATCTCTCCCTTGCAGACAGTGACCAACACCTTCAGGACAAACAATATCCAGATCCAGAGCCAGGATCAGAGGCTGCTGACATTGTCACTGGACAAGGATGATCAACGCACTTTCAGGAATGTGGTCAGGTGAGGCTTGGCCTGCCACCCTTAGAGGTCCAGGGCCCATGGGACAAACTGAAGTAGGTGCCAGCTCCTGCCGCCTCCTGCGTCTAGCACAAGACACCTCATTGGAGGCAGAGCCTGTGGCCAGGCAGGTGTCCCTGGTGAGCATGGACTGAGGCCACTGCCCTATGCCTTGGATCCAGGAAGTAGAGGCAAATGCATGGCTGACTCAGAGCAGCAACTGACATGCATTTTCCCCAGATACCTCTGCATATACTTAGCCTGTAGCCTCCTGATCCCGCCCCCTCTGTAGGCACGGGCCCCTCCCACACAGGCTGACCTTCTATGGCATCTGTGTCCCAGTTAGCCGACCCTTACTGGTTTCCCCTCAGGAGGTGTGTTGGGGTAAGGGAGGGATACACAGAGTCACTTGCTTCAGGCGTCTCCTCCCAGGCCCAGGTTGTTCTTTCTCATCCAAACTCTTCTTCTTTCTTCTGCATGGCCGCCTCCTCTATGCCCTACAATAACGGCTCTGCCTTTCAGATGCCCTGGGCAGATCTGATCCCTGAGACGGGTCACCTGAGCTAGTCTCTCTCCACTCACAGATTCGAGGTCGCTCCCTGCCCAGAACCATGTTCTGGGGCCCAGAAGTCCAAGGCGCCATGGCTCAATTCACATGGGGAAAAGGAGATGAAAACAACCAAAGCCAAGCTCAAACCCCTCCTGATGCCTATCAACACGTTCTCTGGCATTGTCCAGTGAGCCTGCGGCGGGGACAGGAGGCCCAGGAGGGAGGATATACTATCCCATCAACCCCAAACACTTACACCAATAGCCAGAGCAAGGCCCAGCTCTGCGGGGCAGCTTTGGCCTTGATCAGGTGCCAGCGAGTGTCTGGGAGCACAGGGAGTCTGCTGTGCAGGCTGTGATGAAAAAGGGCTCACACGGAGGCCTATGGATGGCCTGGGCAATGCCACAGCTGCTTGAGAACACACACACCAAGCCCAGCTTCTCACACAGATGTCTACTCCTTCATTTAGCTTTAATTCCCACTTCTCCCACTGTCCTCTCCCACTCAAGCTCCTAACCCAGCCCTTAAAACCAGGGTTAGAGCTGCTATTTTGACCAGAGCCCTGTGGTCCTAGGGGAGAATGGGAAGCAGGGAACAGCAATGGCACTGCCTCCCTCCCAAGTCTCTTCCCTTCCCACTCTCAGGCCACTGCCCACCTCACTCAGCCCAGGCAAGGGCCTCTATCAGGTGAGGGGAAAATGTTAGATTCAATAAATGTACACTGAAGCCCTTCTGCTTTCATCTCATACCTAGCAATATTTATATGTTAACAGGAATCATCAGGGCAGTCCTTTATATAACCCAATGAGTCCACTTGGGCTGGGTAAGAGTTCTGTGAAGTATAAACTGGTATGTTCTGTGTCCTGCCTCTTGCTTGCTCTGTCACTGCTCTGGAGTGCAGTGGCGCCATCACAGCTCATTGCAGCCTTGATCTCCAGGGACCAAGTGGTCCTCCCACCTCAGCCTCTCAAGTAGCTGGGATCACAGGCACATGCCACCATGACAAACTAGGTTTGGGTTTTTTTTGTTTGTTTGTTTGGAGGCTTTTTTTGTAGAGATGAGGTCTTCCTATGTTGCCCAGGAACGTAGGCAACCTCGGCCTCCCACCTCAGTCACCCAAAGTGCTGGGATTACAGGTGTGAGCCACCACACTGGCCACACCAGAGATTAAATATATAAAAAATTCTTGGCTTTTATGTTCAAAAACCTACATCTAGGTGTAAAATAGACCAATGACACATCTTTAGTTTCCTCATCCCCAGAAATAGGTATGGTGTTGGGGGAAAGAAACAGGGAGGACAAAATGCTTGGACTTGAGTCCTGTCACCTAGACGGAGTGCCAGGGGATGATGGTGGGCATGGGGGTAAGGTTAGGGTGGTAGAAGTTTCCCTTTTAAGTTTGGGAATCCAAGAATAGAGAAGAGGGCACTTTGCCTTGGGCCTCATTGCCCCAGGAGTAGAAGTAAGTCTCAATGGCAGGACACATTCTCAATGCCAAGGAGAGTGTAAGATGGACCACCTGGGGTGCAGAGGCAGAGGTGCCCAAGGGCAGCCTTAGAGAGAGTCCCTGTGCCTGCATGGGACATGGGCAGCAGGCAAAGATTTTCCCAGGCAGCAGTGTGAAGCATGGCGCCTGAAGGCCAGGTACAGAATTGTGGGCACCTTCACAGACACCAGCACAGTGCAGCAAGGAAGGGAGCCTGGTGGATGCCATTCACTCCATTCTCACTGCCCCCACCCTGACTGATGGTTTTACTTGCCTGAAGCAATCCAGGTGTTTAGCCCAAGTTCCTGGGCAACACCAGCAGCCAGCGGCTGGACAGGGCCCATGGTCTATCTTGGGGTGCACCCTGCAGGCCCCAGGACATGCCTCTCGCACACCTGCACATGTCCAGGCACATTGGAGTCTGACACCTGCCTCCCAGTGGACATGAACACAGGACAGGTCAGGACTGAGAAGTGGATGGATGTGATATCCTCCACTGAGGTTGTCCACAGCAGGACCCAGGGAAGGGCGGAACTAGGGACTATCATCAGTGTGACTGAGGTGGTTTTAAACCTGAAATGATTGCAGTAGCATTGAATTAGAGTGAGTTTACCTAGAGGAGACTAGATTTTATTTTTCCTGTCACTGGCATGACGTAAACAGATTCATACCAATTTGATCATTCAGTCATTAGGTTTTCAGTAGACATCTGCAGTGTTTACCAGTTATTGAGGTTAAGTAAGGCCCCTGGGCCTTCTCCCCAACATACTGTGTACCAGCTGACAATGAAGGCAAGTCATAGACTGAATTCCATTACACATAGACATGTGTTGCCAAGTACTTCTGCTCCATCTCCAGCCAAATTAAGTGCTCTGAGCAAGCCTTGCACAAAAAGCTTACTGAATCAGGGGCTGTACACTGGACCATTCTGAAGCAAACCCTACAGCATCCTTCCAAAAAGGGTTTGGACTACTAGAATCTCTAGATTATTATATCCCATTCCAGCAAGAGAAGAAATGCTTTCAGAAAAATTATACCCAACCCAGGTGACTTGGACACCACTGATTTTACCAGTGAAAAACTATTTATAATATCTATTATGTTCATTAGTGACACATCTGTTGATTTAAGATGAAGTGCTTGTCTTAGCTATCTCTGTCTCTTTGATGAAAAGCTACCTAACCACCTCAGCTGTGTGTACTCTCATACAGGGCACCTGAGCACCCTTAGGTGTAGATTAAAACTAAGCAGCACACACATAGGGTTCTGGGGGCTGCCAAGTGCTGGCAGATCGGCTGCAAGGAGTGTCCCTGGACGACTGCCATCAGCTGTCAGCCCTCCTTAGGGATTTTCCCAGCTGGAGACAACCGTGTCACCCAAGGTCATGCCACTCCCGAGGGCAGCACGCATCCAGTGAAACCATTCTAGGCCCTGGGATCAAAAGTACCTGCCTTCCTGGGGCTTGGATTCTGGTGACGACAGACAATAAACAAGGTCCACACATAAACTATAAACCTGTAGTGCCTTGGACAGTGATAAGTGCTAGAGAGAACAACAAAGTAGGGAAGGGGAGTGGGATTCTTGGGGGCAGGGTGGGGACAGGGTTATGGGATTTGCGGTGTCAGCTGTTGGTCACTGATGGGGTAAAGACCTGAAGAAGATGATGGAGAGAGCCTGGTGGATGCCATGCATTCCATTCTGGCTCCCCGCATGCCGACTCTGAGCGTTTTGCTTGCCTGAAGCAGTACAGGTGCTTAGCCCAGGCTCCTGGGCTACAGTGGCAGCCGGAGGAGCCTGGCTGCCGGGGCTCAGAGCACACAGTGCAGGCCCCGGGACGCGCCCCTTGCGCACCTGCGAACTTCCGGGCAGGTGGCCCACGGTGGCGGCAGTACGTGGCAGGTGCGGCTCGCGGGACGCTGGCCCCACCCACACCCTCCGCCACCACCGCTCCTCTCCCTCCTGGCGGGAGGACCTGAGGGCGTTGGCTGGGGGCGGGCGTTGACCTGGTGACCGTGGCGCTGCCCCAGACCCGGGCCGCAGTCCCTCTTGTTCGGAGCCCTGACCCCTGAGCCTCCCGCCCGGGAACAAGGGGCCGCGCCCGCCCTGCGCCCAGCTCCGCCCTCTGTCGGCCCAGGCCTGAAGGAGCCGGTCAGCCATGAGCGCCAACCCTTGATGGGACATCGGCAGGGCGCTGGGGGTGGCCAAGCTCTTTCACCCGCTGTGCGAGGTCCGGGAAACCTGCGTGACCCCGTTCCTGACCCTCTACCTGAGGCAGCTGGGCTTGGCGGCGCCCTGGGTGTGCATCCTAATGAGAACCAAGCACCTGATCGCTACCTTCTGGGCTCCCATCTGTGCCGTCCCAGCCAAAAGCTACCGGAAATGGAGGACACTTCTGATCGGCTCCCTGCTGGGCTGGGGGTGGGGGCCAGCCTGCTGATGGTCCTGGTTCCACTGGCAGACAGAAAATGGGTGCACCTCCCTTGTAATGGAAGCAGCAGCGTGACCAGCACAGGTGCACTACTGGGGGTCACACTACCTGTGAACATCACCTCAGCCCAAGAGCCTGCCTCTAGCCACCCAGCCAAGAGGACTGGAGAGGTGGAGGTGCCTAGCTTCAGAAAGCCACCTAGTAAAAGTGACCAAGAAACTTTTGGTGCTCTTCACAGCTACTTAGCACTCTCTGTAGAAGAAGCTAGGACCACATCCCAAGTTCTCCTCCATCCTGACACTTCAGGGCTGAAAGGTCATCCCTGGGAAGTTACTTTTGAGGTGGTCAAGACTGCCCTCCCCTTGCTTCCTGCTGGAAAAGGGCCCAGAAATCCAGCCAATTTGTCAGGGACCCAAGGGAAACCCTGGGCTTTTGACTTGTCCTTGGAAGGTTTGCGGTGGACTTTCATCCTCTCCTTGGGGTCCATGGCGTTCTGGGAGCTGCTGACAGCACCTCTGGTGCAGGTGGCAGATGACAGCCTTTATGAGTACCTGGATTTTGTTGATGCCACTGACCAATATAGAAGCTTGTCGGTCTGGAGGTTGCTGGGCATGTCGGCAGGCATGTGTGGCATCGTAGCCTTGGTGGGGCAGCTGGACTGCTTCCTGATGACCAGTGGCCCCCGGGGTGTGGTCGACTTCTATGGCTACTCGGTGGTCAGCATCCTGGCCTTATTGGTGAGCATTGCCTTTCCCATTCCCATCTATCAGCCGTGGGAGCCCAGCTACAAAAGCGCCAAAGCACTGTCTATTGTGGGGGGCAACCCCCACCTCATTCTCCTTGCCTCCACCATTGTTTTGATAGGAGCCATCATCAGTACTGTCCAGAACTTTCTGTTCTGGCACATGAAGGACCATGGGAGCAGCGAACTAGTCACGGGTTTCTCGGTTGCCCTCAGCTTGGTGGGGGAAATTCTGCTTCATCTGTTCAAAAAGACATTGCTTAGGAAACTGTCCAGGGCAGGCCTGGTGGGGCTGGGGCTGGGCTGCCTCTCTGGGCAGCTGCTCTACTACTCTTTCCTCTAGAGCTGGTGGTCTGTCCTCCCTGTCCAAATCTTGAGTGCCATTAGCAACGGGGCTCTGTGGTGGGCTGTGGAGGCCTCAGTAGAGGACCTAACCACTCCCCGCATAGAGAGGGCTCTGAGTGCCTTGTTGCAAGGCCACTTTTATGGGAGTGGCTGTAGCCTGGGCAGCTTTGTTGGGGGCTTCGTGGTGATGCGCTTCAGCCTGGCTGTGCTCTTCCAGGCCTGCTGTGTGGTCCTGTTGCTCTGGTTGGCCTTTTTCCTGTCCATACAGCAGAGGCTGCCCCACGAGTGGAAAATCAAGTACTCAAAGCTGCTGTCTATGGAGCTGAGTGACACCAGTGACTGAGCAGGGGACAGAACGGGACTGGCTTGTGAAGGCCATGAGGGAAGAACCAGACAGAAAGGGCTGAGAAATCCAGAGTGTTATGATCTAGGAAGGAACAAGGGGACTGAACAAAGCTCAGTCTGCCAAGGACAGAAACCTGCCCTGGACTACAGGGAGCCTTGGGGAAGAAAGGGGAGGGTGTCTATGCTGAAGGCCCAACAGGATCGTCTCATTGCATGATTTTCCTTACTTCTGCAGTAAAAGGAGATTTAACGTTTTGCCATTCAATCTTTTTTTTAAATAATGGAGGAAGTATACATTTGCTTTGAAAAACTTTCCCTTTGTAGTCACTATATTTTGATGTGTAAGGTTTGCAAGAGTCCTGACTCAGGTGCTGTTGGATTCAGCAGTGGTGGAAGGGATCAAACTGTTAGTGACAGGAAGACCATGGGGACCTGCAGGATTCAGTTGGCAGAGAGGGCAGCTGATGTGGGTGAATCACGGCATTCCTATGAGTCATAAATGCATTCACCTACTCCTAAAAAAAGCCATGCTGTGGGCAGATAAGAATGGTCAAGAAAACAAACTCCTTTCTGTCCCAACTGATATAAAAGTGCCCACACTCACACTCAAGTACTTCCAACAGGAGAAAATAATGGGAAATGTTTATGTGTCGGGGAGAAGGGAGTGGGAGGTTAATAGGTTTCATTCTTACCTTCACACAAATGTGTGTCCCACTTAGAATCATCGTCCACATTTACATCAGAGCAAGGGCAATTTCATGTCTTTTGAACTCACATTTTGCATGCCCCACCTCATAAGAGCATATGAAGATTTTTTTTTCTTTTTTCTTTCTTTTTTTTTTTTAAGAGACAGTCTTTCTCTGTTGCCCAGGCTGGAGTGCAGTGGTGCAATCTTGGCTCACTGCAACCTCTGCCTCCCGGGTTCAAGCAATTCTCCGCCTCAGCCTCCCAAGTAGCTGGGATTACAGGCACCCACCACCACACCTGGCTAATTTTTGTATTTTTAGTAGAGACGGGGTTTCACCATGTTGGCCAGGATGGTCTCCATCTCCTGACCTCGTGATCCACCCACCTTGGCCTCCCAAAGTGCTGGGATTACAGATGTGAGCCACCGCGCCCAGCCTAAGATTTTAACACCTGATTTTATTGAGGTGCAGACGTCTCCATAGGTAAGGATGCTATAGGTTCTCCACACTGTGGAGGCACTTGGTGGGATTTTGGGAGTGACAGACTAGTGCTACTGCCTTCCCAAATTCCCCCAGGGAAGGGCCTGAAATAAAGGACCCTTTATTCCAAAGGCCAGTCCCCAAGGGCCCAGTCGGTCTACCTAATCATCAGTTTAAAATAAGGTATTGAATTTAAAAGAAGCCTCACTGCATAAATGCAGAAAATGTCTCATAGCCAGAGAAGGTGAAGCAGATACATGAACGTCCACAGGGTCAGACATGGTACTAGGAGCTTTGTTTTTTTTAATTCTCCCTAAGAAGCTTTAGGATACAAATAATCAACAAAAAACTACCTCCGCCTTAAACAATTAGAGATTTGTCTCATATATATAAGACATTTGGGGTGGGCAGCCCAGAGGTGGTGCCTGCCACTGCTGGATGACACCACTGGGGATCTAGAATCTTTTCATCTCCTCACACTGTCATACTCAGCCTGTAGGCAACCCTCCCAGATTTGTACTCTCATCGGAACAAGATAGCTGCTGCTCCTCCACACCTTTCATCCATGTTCCAGGCAGTAAGAAAAGGGAAAGACAAGAGGGCAAAAAGAAACAGGAACAAGTGTCTATATCAAGAAAATAGGCTGTGTGGTGGCTCATGCCTATAATCCCAGCACTTTGGGAGGCCGAGGCAGTCAGATTGCTTGAGCCCAGGAGTCCAGCCTGGGAAACATGGTGAGACCTTGTCTCTACCCAAAAAAAAAAAAAAAAAAAAAATTAGCCAGGTGTGGTGGTGTGCAACTGTAGTCTCAGGTACTCAGGAGGCTGAGGTAGGAGGATCGCTTAAGCCCAGAAGTTTAAGGCTACAGTGAGTCGTATTTGTGCCAATGCACTCCAGCCTGGGTTACAGAGCAAGACCCTGTCTCCAAAACAAAAAAGATTAAAAAAAAAAAAGGAAAGATAAGCCTCCCCAGAAATTCCTCAGCTGAGTGAACTGTATCTATCCCATGGCCACCCTAGCCGCAAAGAAGTCTGGGAGGAAGTATTTTAAGCTAGGCACAGTTACACATCAAGCAAAATGAGGTATGCATTAGGAAAAGGGGGCTGGACATAGAATTGGCAACTAGCAACATCTGCAGCAGCCTCCACAATGGAACTTACAGCCAGGTCCAGCTTACTGCAAAGCCTGTGTTCCTTTCACCCCAGTAAGCCAGCTTCCCCCACAGAAATGACTTCAGCAATGTGACCCCCACAACTACTCTATGAACATATCAAATTTGTTATCTACATTTTACACATGAGAAAATGGAGTCTCAGAAGTCACACATTGGGTCACTGGCAGAACCAACACCAGAGTCCTGAATCTCCTTACTCCAAATGTGGGGCATTTTCTTCTGTGCCAATAGTTCCCCAGCCTTGCTGTCGATCCAAGTCTGAGGAGCACTTGCAAAAAGCCAGATTCCTGGGTTCCATCAGAATCTCACAGGTGGGCTCAGAAATCTGCATTTTTGGAGCAACCTCCAAGTGATTCTGATGTGGTTAACCAAGCACTGTCCACTCCATTGCCCTTTCCAGCTCTATCTATCTCAACACTTCTTACCAAATGTTTCCATTTGCAGTGAAACAAATAACAACTACTGAGTGGTCACTTTAGGCTGGACACTGTTCTAAATATAGTACACGGTGTACTCCTACTAGTTATCAAGCAATCATAGAATGTAAACACTATTAGCATCTCCAGTTTACAATGGCAGAACTGAAGGTTCAGTAACTTGCCTGAGGTCACGCAGTTAGTAAGTGGCAGAGCTGGTATTCAGATCCAGCCTGGTGGCTCCTGGGCCTGAGAGTTATTAATCACTGTGCTCTATGGCTTTGAAATTGAGGGGAAAGGGGGGAAATTAAATATTAAGATTTACGGCAGCCATCACTTGAAACTGATTGGATAGCAATTTTACTATTTAGACAGAACACACAATAATACCAAAATACAAACACGTATATGTCCTCTTAAACAAAAGGATGAGGAACAGGAACTGGCTTAAGAAAAGAGTTAAGTAAGTATGATTTAGCCTGAAGAGGAGGAAGAAGGAAGAGAAAAAGAAGCGTGAGTTGGGGGGAGGGGTTGTAAAGAAGGAGAAGACGGAAAACTGAGGGAGGTGACGACTGATGGATCCAAAAGATTTTATGGGAAGGATGAGAGGCTGAGAAGTTTGTTTGGGGTATTTAATGTTTGACTACCTTCCATTCTTAAAGAGGCTGGGAGCCCGGGCTGGGTGGGGTGGGGCGGGGCACCCCAGACCAGCAAAGGAGTTCACACTGCTCTGGCCCCGCCCCACCCTGCCCCGCCTGCCGACCTAGTCCCAACCCCTCCCCGCTGGCCCCGCCCCCACAGGCCTGGCCCGCCCCCGCCCCGCCTCCCTGGAGTGCTTTGGCACGATCTCAGCTCACTGCAACCTCCGCATCCCGGGTTCAAGCGATTCTCCTGCCCCAGCCTCCGGAGTAGCTGAGACTACAGGCACCCACCACCATGCCCGGCTAATTTTTGTATTTTAAGTAGAGACAGGGTTTCACCATACTGGCCAGGCTGATCTTGAACTCTTGACCTTTTAATCCACCAGTCTCACCCTCCCAAAGTGCTGGGATTTCAGGTGTGAGCCACCACACCCAGCCATGTTTAACTTTTAAAGAACTGCTAATAGTTTCCCAAAGTGGTTGTGACATTTTACATTCCCACCAGCAGTGCATAGAAGTTTCAGCTTCTCAACACCTTCACAAACACTCAGTAAAATCAGTCTCTTTAATTTTAGCCATTCTAATAGGCATGTAGTAGCAGTTTCTTGGTATCCTTGGGGAATTGATTCCAAGACACCATCCCTCTACAGATATCAAAATCCAAGGATGCTCAAGTCCCTTGTATATAATGGCATAGCATTTGCATATAACCTAAGCACATCAACCCATATACTTTAAATCATTTCTAGATTGTGCTATGTAAATAGTTGTTATTCCCTATTTTTGCATTTGTATTTTGTTGTTGTTGTTTGGATTATTTTTATCCATGGTTGGTTGAATCAGCAGGTACAGAGGCCACAGATACAGAAGGCAGACTGTATCTCATTGTGATTTTAATTCACTTGTCTCTAGTTACTAATGATGTTGAGCATCCTTTCTCTGTACTGTGCTTTTGAAAATTAATCAGCATCATAGAAGTACACAAGAACAAAAACAACCTCAGGTGACTATAAGAGCACATTACCTATCAGAATAGTAAATGCTTCAAAGCAGTGGTCTTTGTTCCTCGAGTGCTTTAATGGGGAAAAGAACAAAACAAAAAGACTTGATAACTTTGTGTTGTGGATAGTCTTACATACTCGCAAGCCTAAAGATATAGAATCAAGCCAGAGGATCTCTAGGCCATATCCCCATGCATACATTAGAATTAGAATTATTCTTGAAGAGTCTTTATTAGCATTGCTAATAAAAAATGTAAAAAAAAAAAAAAGGATTCTCAAACCTCAAAGCAATGCTTTTGGAGAAAGACCCTTTGAGAAGGATTCTAATGTATGCATGGGGATATGGCCTTTGTAGGAAAATTCTGAGACCACCGACTTCTTTCAAAGTTTATAAAAATTTGGAAGATGATGTGAGACGTCAGTCATCACTTGCGGAGGTCTGGCCTACAGACACTGACTCAACGACGGATGAATGAATACACTCTCATGCCTTGACAGTGATACAAGTGGGCTAGGGATGGCCACTGGCTGCTTTCTGACGGTGAAGTGCAACCAATTGACCAAGACCCCATGTACATCCACATATTTATTCATAATAGAGGTTCTAAGTCAACACACTTGTGGATAATTAACATGGTTAAAAGACTGAGAGTGGTTTTACTAATGATAAAAGCTTTAGGTTCCAGCCCAGAGTAAACACTATTAATAGGTAATCCCCTTTGATCTCCCCTTGAGGGGGTCATCCAGCACAAAGTTTATATGAGTAAACAGAATAGAGACAAAGGGATGTGGGATAGACAGACTTAACTGGGAAAGCCTCGTCCCAATCTTCTCCCTAACTTAATGAACTGTTGAGAAATGTTAAGTTGTTGAGAAATGCTAAGTTTATGAATATTGAGAAATGCTGAGTGTATGATAGAATATATTGTTTGCTAGAGAGAACGATGGCAAGAAAACCTAGCTGGCCCTCCCCCATCAAGTAGAAAACTACTTGGGCATTCCAAAGTGGCAGGACAATATATAAATATCATACACAGGTTGAAACAATTCTTTAAGCCATCTGACCCTGTCCCTGTGGCTCCCTCGTGAAGAATACTTTTTAGTTTGTCTGTGATCAGTGGTAAGCAGGCACAAGCTGCCTACTTGGCATATTTTGTTATGAGAAAATACCGAACATCTGTTTGTTAATAATGATCACCTGTTCAGAGAGAATAAATGCATGGGTCAGAGTCTACTCAGGGCCCTTCAGCCTGGAATGCTGTCAGCCCCTGAGACTCTTAGCTCCGAAGGCTACTGGCTCCCTAGATAGACCCACTTTGCCATTCTATCTGGATGTCTGCCTCTCAATTCCTTCAGCGCTGCCTTGGTGGGAGTCTTTACGGCTGAGCTGGCTCTCGTTAATCGACCAGCTAGTGCCTTTGGCCTGCCCCAATACAACCTTTTGGCCTTCCAAAAGGTTTGAGACTAATCTATAACTTTTCCTAATATGTCTTTAATATTTTGCCAGCCACCCCGAGTGAATACCAACAATGATCTTCAGTGAAAATTACTTTATTTCAACAAAGTCTGTCCCTGCCACTCCATTTGCCACATAGGTCTCCAGCATGCAGGGTGGAAACAGTAGTCTTTCTGACAGGTACATTGTTATAGGAAGCCTTTCCTGACCAATATGTACTTTTTTATTTCTGCTAATGTTGGTTTACCATTCCCCCTCTGACCTTGTTTCAAAGAAGTGGCTTTTCACATTTTAGGACATATAGTTTCCTTTAATAATCTGATGAATGTCACAGGTGCTCTACCCTGAAGTGTGCATATCAAATTTTTCATGCTGGTCACATTTCATGGATAAACCACCACCAACAACAAAACATTCAATAGCCTCGGGCTTATTAAACAGATATACCTGCTTGAGGCAGATTTTCTGCCAAATAACTTCCCAATGGCCCAAATTAGGAAACCTCCTTCCTAATTTTGTCTTCCCTTTACCCCATGACCAGTGACTTTGCTATCACAAGCTTCCCAAATTCTCTTCACTTTGCTGCTTCTCCTTGTTCAGCCCTGCAGGCTTCTATCTTTATGCAGGTGGCACCCTAGGTGAGGTGTGCAGAGTCAGAGGCTGTGATAGAGGAAAGTGGGCTCAGAGTGAAGGCCCTGGGGAGGTTCTTCAGGAAACACAAGAATGCCAGGGCTCAAGCTTTCTTCAAGCCTTCCTAAGTATGTACTGAGTGCGACTGGGATCCTTCAGGGTACTAGGTGAGTCTTTAGGAATGCATCCATCACTTCCTCCTGCATAACATCACCAGACACCTCCCACATCTTCCTGGGGTAACTAGTGTTACCTCCCAATGGCTTTATGCCATTTTTTACATTTTGTTCCCAGGGCCACAATCCTGAGCATGCTAGCTCAGGTCTCTCTCTTTGTAAAACCACCTGACCCACTCCTATAATAATCCATTAATTCATTAACCCATTAACTTATCCATAATGGCAGCACCATCATGAACCAATGACCTCTTCAAGGTCCCACCTCTCAATA